ACGTGACAGAGAAAGGGTATCATACCTTCACCCTTAGTAGGGAACGTGACAGAGAAAGGGTATCATACCTTCACCCTGATTAGGGAACGTGACAAAGAAAAGGTATCATACCTCTTACCTTAGTAGGGAACGTGACAGAGAAAGGGTATCATACCTTCACCCTTAGTAGGGCACGTGACAGAGAAAAGGTGTCATACCTTTATCCTTAGTAGGGAACGTGACAGAGAAAGGGTAACATACCTTCACCCTGAGTAGAGAACGTGACAGAGAAAGGGTAACTTTCCTTCACCCTGAGTAGGGAACGTGACAGAGAAAGGGTATCATACCTTCACCCTTAGTAGGGCACGTGACAGAGAAAAGGTGTCATACCCTCAGCCTAAGTAGGGGACGTGACAGAGAAAGGGTATCATACCTTCACCCTTAGTAGGGCACGTGACAGAGAAAGGGTATCATACCCTCAGCCTAAATAGGGAACGTGACAGAGAAAGGGTGTCATACCTTCACCCTGAGTAGGGAACGTGACAAAGAAAGTGTATCATACCTTCACCCTTAGAAGGGAACGTGACAGAGAAAGGGTATCCCTTCACCCTTAGTAGGGAACGTCATAAAGGGTATCATACCTTCTCCCTGAGTAGGGAACGTGACAGGGAAAGGGTATCATACATCATACCCTCAGCCTAAGTAGGGAATGTGACAGAGAAAGGGTGTCATACCTTCACCCTGAGTAGGGAACGTGACAGAGAAAGGTTATCATACCTTCACCCTTAGTAGGGAACGTGACAGAGAAGGGTATCGTACCTTCACCCTGAGTAGGGAACGTGACAGAGAAAGGGTATCATACCTTCACCCTTAGTAGGGAACGTGACAGAGAAAGGTTATCATACCTTCACCCTTAGTAGGGAACGTGACAGAGAAAGGGTGTCATACCTTCACCCTTAGTAGGGAACGTGACAGAGAAAGGGTATCATACCCTCACCCTTAGTAGGGAACGTGCCACAGAAAGGGTATCATACCTTCACCCTGAGCAGGGAACGTGACAGATAAAGGGTATCATACCTTCTCCCTGAGTAGGGAACGTGACAGGGAAAGGGTATCATACCTTCCCCCTGAGTAGGGAACCTGACAGAGAAAGGGTGTCATACCTATACCCTGAGTAGGGAATCTGACAGAGAAAGGGCGTCATTCCCTGAGCCTAAGTAGGGTACGTGACAGAGAAAGTGTATCATACCTTCCCCCTTAGTAGGGAACGAGACAGAGAAAGGGTATCAAACCTTCACCCTTAGTAGGGCACGTGACAGAGAAAGTGTATCATACCTTCACCCTTAGTAGGGAACGTGACAGAGAAAGGGTATCATACCTTCACCCAGAGTAGTAAACGTGACAGAGAAAGGGTATCATACCTTCACCCTGAGTAGTAAACGTGACAGAGAAAGGGTGTCATACCTTTACCCTGAGTAGGGAACGTGACAGAGAAAGGGTGTCATACCTTTACCCTGAGTAGGGAATCTGACAGAGAAAGGGTGTCATACCCTCAGCCTAAGTAGGGTACGTGACAGAGAAAGGGTATCATACCATTGGCCAGGAGAGTCGCAGGAGCTCCCTCAGCTGGGCCCTGTAGCCATCGTCCTGGAATTTCTCCTTGAAGACTCCCCGCGACGTGAGCAACCATTGAGTTGCTCGTTCCCATGACGGGCATGGCATTGCTTGCGGTGATTCAGATCAGATCTCTTGTGATTGTATAAAAAGTCATTTTAGGCTTGTCATAGAATTGATTACCGAATATTAAAATATTAGTGTATTGAAATGCTAACACTGAAATGGCTTCTTATCAATTCATATCTCAAATGAAAATTCAAAACACCAATGTGGCTTCACTTATTGCATTCAAATCATAAAACAAATCTTGGCATATAATATATAAAAATTATAAGATACCTAATTTTATAACTGATCTAATTACTACAGGTTTATCTATTTTTCAGAGCACAAAAAGACAGTCAATATCTCAAAGATAAGAGTAGTCTTTATGGAAAGAAGTCATTCATGTTTGGGGCGGCTTGAGCGCAGAAGAGTCTGTTAAATGACCTCGATCAGAAGTGCTGAGAAATATGGGATTTCTGTCGACAGTTGCACACCTGGAATGGCAAACTTTGTAGATGTGACATCTGCTCTGAGAAGGAGGACCTCGATCTTCTGTGTATGTTTACTTGTCTTGTTATACTTCAAGTCGCTTGCATTTCGTCGCTGCTGTGTGATGTTTGGTTCTATTTTGTTTTAAATTTGTTCTGTCATGTCGAAAATTTGAGCATTTAATTTCATACTGTTTAGAGTTGTAGTCGTATATATCTGAACAGTATTTCAAATAGAATAATATGTGTAAATTTAATTTCACGAATTCAAGGTGTTTTAGCACACAGACGGGAACTCTTCATGTTAAGTGTCAAAATAGTAAAATGGATAGGCTTACTGACTTTTGTTGAACAAGTCATCAACAAAACTAATAGATGTGATATCATTTATATATACTAGTATATAGATTTCAAACGTCATTACTCTTTATGAATATAAATCCTCACAACCACATGCGCGCTATTTCATGACGATATCACGGTTATGAAGGTTATTATCGCGGCTCATTTTCAGGCTCGTCATATTATTCTGCGGATTATATTTTCGCGATCACGTAAGTAAACGGCGAAATCGCAAAATTAACGTCCCCGCGCAAATATCCTGCTATACAGTACTAGAACTACAATTTACTTACATTTGAATAGATTCTAGATTTACAATTTATATACATTGTATTGATACTAGAAATACAATCAATTAACATTTAAATAGGTACAAGAAATACACCAACATTACATTTACATTGATACTAGCATGTAAATGAATACAATTAACGTATATGCTAGAAATGCCATCAACTTCCATTTATATGAGTACTAGAAATAGAGCTAAATTACATTTAATGTAAGTACCAGAAACGCAATGTGAATAACGGAACTAACGAAAGATTCAATACACAGGGAAAAGTTTCTTGATGAATAACACCGCGGGCTGAATACTTTTTGTACTTTTCAATCGTGCTACCAACTAGAAATATCAAAATATCACCCTCCTCATGAAATACAAATAAGGTTCATCAATAACCCCAGAATGCTAGGTTTATAACGTTTAAACCATTGCTTCCGTGCACAGATCATCCGTCTTGTCAAAATATAGTGAGACTATAAACGCTGTATTGCGACGATAAGAACACGTGGAAGCGTCGTCAGTGACGGCGTACTTTCACACTAAACCAGCTACTTACTGACAGGTGAACTTACAGTAAAAACTTATATTATATCACCGGTAAACATGTAATACAAATTCTGAATCTGGTTCAATACACGTCTGGTTCGGAGAGATGAATTTACCTAATATTTAGGCTTATTTTCTAATCCTTCGATCGTGTATGAATTATTCATGAACTACAAATTTTGTTTAAGTCTTGTTCAATGACATAAAAAAAAGAACAATTCTGTAATCAAGGTTTCATTTTTGTACAAATTACACAATAATAGGCGGCCATCTTGAATATAAAGGTTTGAGTTTCTTTATATTCCCTTTTCAGAAAATTCTGGATAGATCTCTCCGACGTTTTACGTTGGTTTCGGCAATTTCAGTTAAGTTAAGGCAGCCATCATGGATTTTTCTCCAGAAGTGCTTGACAGATCTTGATCAAATTTCGCATGTGCAAGTAGGTTCTTTGTATTTGAGTAAAGAAGTTTTAAAGGACACTGTCTGACCCAGCTGTATGAAGTTTTAATGAAAAATTACCAGAGGATGGAATTACTGCTGACCGGACTCTCAGTGTAACAGAGAAAAAAAGAGAAATATCAAACGTACATAGAAATATTAAAAATAATACGATGGTTGCACGGTGCGTTGGTCCTTTTGGAACTCTTGTAGACTTATGACATTTACTGTATTTGCAGCATCAACTACCAATAACATGGTACTTCCAGGTGAAACTTTGTGTTGAAAACCATATTTCCCAAGTGACCGAGTTGAACTCGGAGTATATCAATTTCTGTAGATATACGAAAGCAATAGATACTTTGAAAAAATAAACATACCTTGTCCTTTTTTCTCTCAAGTAAATCCTCTACCTAAAATGAGAAACAAAAATGATCGGTAAAACTGTTTGGTGTCACCTTGCACTAGGTGGGATTGCTTTCCATACCCGCATACAGTACCAGGCGGCATGTGCTGTGTTGGTTTGATCTATCCACCACTTACAGCCCTCATCAATGACACATGCCGGTCAAATCACTCTCATCTACAGCAAGTACATTATAGTTAAAAACAGGTATACGTTTATGGCTAATAAGCATACCTTTATAAGTTTTGTTTTACGTTCGTTATAACGTGTATAATACAGTGAGTTAGACTTGGTAAATACATTGTAATTCTATCATAATTGATAAAGTGTGTTGTACATTTTTTGGTCGTATGCTGCAGTTAGTGTTTACATTTTTTCGCTTTCTGCATTGACGAAGTAATTGTTTAAATAGGTGTACCTTGTTGTTTTTCCTAGTGAATACATGTGCTGGGACGTCATCTATATTACAGACTATGTCGTCATCAAGGTCATTAAATAAGACGGCATCCATTTTTAAACAATGATGTCGTCTATGTTACAGAACATGACGTCACCTATCTGACAGAACATGACGTCATCAGTGTTTTTGACTAAGATATCATCAATATTTCAAAATAGGATGTTGCCTTCGTTACAGACTATGATGAAGATCATTTTACGAATATTTACGTCACCGATGTTACAGCCTTGTTAAAAACTAGAAAGCCCCCAGTGTTGTCATTGTCACAGAGTACGACGTCATATGTTGTAAACGGTTATTTTAAGAAGAGGCCAAGAGGGCCTGTATCGTACACCCGAATATTTAAGCAGTCATAGCAATATAATCTCATTAAATATTATACTGTACTACAAATATTTCACTTGCAAACTCGACTCCATCAGTTGAAACTACCAGCCAAATATTATATGATTCTATGCTTTTTGCTTCTTCTACAGAAGTTGTTAGAAGTGTTTGACATGTTTTTTCCCTATGACATTGTAAGTAAGTCAAGGTATTTTTCCTTCTCAAACTTCGTTGGCTCTAACCAAAGAAGCTACCACCCAAATCTTATGAATCCATTTCTTTTGGTTCTTCAGAACAAATCTTTTGAAATGTTGTTGACCTCTGTGACCTTTAAAGTAGGTTGAGGTCATTTTCATTTGCAAACTTTTGTGAGCTCTATCACAAGAAGCCACCAGCCAAATATTATGATTCTATGTATTTGGTTATTAAGAAGAAGTCGTTTAATGATTTGACATATTTGACCCTTGTGACCCTGCAAGTAGGTCAATGTCATTTTCATTCTCAAACTTTGTCAGGCTCTATCCAAGGAAGTCACCAACCAAATATTGTGATTCTATGCATTTCAATTCTTCAGAAGAAGTTGTTTTAAGCGTTTGAAATATTTGACTGCTGTGACCTCGAAAGTAGTTCAAGGTCATTTTCATTCTCAAACTTATTCGGGCTCTGTCCCGGGGGGCCACCAACCAAATATGAAGATTCTATACCTTTTAGTTCTTTTTCAGAAGTCGTTGAAAGCGTTTGACATATTTGACCACTGTGACCTTCGGGCCAGGTGAGCTAAAAATGATAACTTTGTCCCTACCTCAGACCATGATATCATCTATATCAATTATGACACATATACTATACACATTTTGCTAAGAGGATCACCCATTTCTTGAAAAAAAAATGTTAGAAAGGATATTATATTTTCCTTCTGTACTGTTTTGGGCGAATATGTTAGCCTTCTAAATCGTCCTGTGTGGGTGTGTTCAGTCAACCATAAAAGCGTGTGCACGCTTTTCCACCTGTACACCCCTTTCAAAAGCTAAGATAGGCTAAGTAAGGCGTTGTTCAAATTGAATACTGAAAAAGGGATGGAAAGAAACAGATTTATTACAGCATCAACGAAATGTGGATTACATTCAGGAGAGTAATAAAAGTATAAAATGAAGATGTACCAACAATAAGCATAGCTTTCCAGCACACCAGGCACGTTGAAGGCAATTAAACAGAAGCATTCCTTGTTTAAAAAGGCATCAACATGTAAGGACATGGGAGTAAGAAATCAGTACAATAAGGCCAGAAATGAAGTAAGGAAACTAACTCGTAAAATCAGGAAATAGTATGAACACAGCATTGAAGAAAAAGCCAAAACGGACCCTAAAGCCTTTTGGAACTATATCAAATCAACAACAAAGTCAGTTATCGGAGATATGTATCAAAGACAAAAGATAAAAACGAAAGTCTCATCAGATATAGGCTCTGTAAGTTCTTCAGTGGTGTCTTTGTAAACAAAGAGATGGGAATAAGGCCATTTAGTTCCAACAGGAAGTAATTGAGGAAACGCCAACCATTAAGTTAAAGGATGAGATTGTATTTAAACTGCTAATAAGACTGAAATTGAAAAAGTCTTCAGTGTTCGACCAACTCCACCCGATGTTTCGTCAATAACAGGTCCTTTAAAAAAAATCTTCAACCAATCAAGGAACACTACCAGACGATTGGAAACAAGTTCGGGTTAGTTCTTCCTACAAGGTGATGCAGGTAACTACAGGCCAGTTAGTTTAACATCAGTGGTATGTTAAGTTCTAGAGTCCAGAGTAAGGGAACATATAACAAAAGTCATGAGGAATAACATATTTTTTTCGGACAAGCAGCATGGTTTCATTCCTGGAAGACCAGCCTATTTACAACTACTAGAAATCTGGGGTAAATGGACAGAAGCCCGGGATAAAGGACAGAAGCCCGGGATAAAGGACAGGTTATAGATTGTATTTACACAATAGACTCCTAAAATAAATTGTTTTCCCATCCCATATTTACAGTTGTATTTGTAATATTGTTGATTATATTCATATAACATCTCCAATCAAATAATCTCTTGGATATCAACATTCCTGATAGGTCGACAACAGAAAGTATCTGTAAATGGTGCAGATTTAGAATGGACTAAAACTACATCATGTATCCCCTTTAGGCTCCGTGCTAGGAGCATTGATGTTTTTGCAACTTTTATGAATGGCCTCACAGGAGCGGTTCAGTCGCATATGTACCTATTTGCAGACGACACTAGAATATTTAAAATAATTTAAAAAAACCAAGACAGTTTCGAGCTTCAGAAAGATCTTGAGTGGAGTGACACATGGCTTCTAAAGATGCATCCAGACAAGTGTAAACATATGAGAATAGGCAAGAAAAGAAGCAGAGGGCAAAGTGAAGTTGAATTTAATAGTTATGCATTGTTGTCAGCGTGGATAACTAACTCTTACAACTTTCATCTCCAATGCATTTTGTCTCCTCCTTCCACTTAGACTGGTAAACCTTGTGTCTTTATACAATTTGAAAATTACTAACTTCAGTTAGATGAACTAACTCTTACAACTTTCATCTCCAATGCATTTTGCATGACAGCCAAAGTCGGATATGTATAAATTTCTGTGAATGTATATGACATAATCTCCTCCTTTCACTTAGACTGGTAAACCTTGTGTCTTTATACAATTTGAAAATTACTAACTTCAGTAAGATAAATATGATAATCCACCATCACTCGTTGGGGAACATCTATATACAATTGCTGAGTATAAAGAATGAATACATAGCTCTAGGGTCCGGTCCCAAGAGATCACTTCTTGGATAAAAACTTTGAAAAGGTTGAGATCATAATCATAAACTCATAACCAAATATACAATTGCTTTGCATGATGAGACAAACATAAGCATGATTTCAGAATTGACCCTGGGGTCTGGCCCTGCCTCCTTGGGACTCAATGCCTGGTCACAATATGGAAACAGATGAGATCCCCTCCTTATAATCATAATTTAATTGCTGAGTTTGAAGAGACAAATGCACGTATGCTGCTAGGATAGACCCTAGTATCCGATGCCACCCCCGGAGAGTAAGTTCCTGGATTACAACTTTGAAATTATTGAGATGCCCACCTTATAACCATGGGTACTGTGGCTTTGCATGAATAGCCAAGTACATATATGCTACCAGGATTGGTCATTGGGTCAGTTCCCACCCATAGGGATATAGTCCCGGATCATATCAAATAAAAGGTTGAGATCCCCACCCCATAACAACATATACAAATGCTTTGCTGAGCATGAAGATTTGGTTTAACAAGAAGTATCAGGTTTGGCACCAGGGTCCAGCTCCACTATTGGAAACTTATTTGAGCAATACAGAACTGCTGGTTCTCTTGTTTCTTAGAAAGTGTTAAAACTAAAATAAAGAAAAAGAAAATGAAAATGACATTACTTAAATAATTTACTTCACATAAAACTTGACATTATTGTAAGTGAGAATATTTAACAGCACTCTTTAATCATAAAATGAAAAACATAGACTGAATACATATTGATTGTACAAGTTATCAACCCATGGTTGGTATTCAGCTTATTCATTTGTTAAACAAATTGAGTTGGTTTTGCGATGAAACTTTAGAATAAACCCAGTTCTTACCAGGTATAATACCCTCTGTTTATGAAGTCTTATACCACAGGTAAAATACAGTATTATACTATACCAGAATTTCTAACACTTTCTCCCTACAACACAATTACAGGTAAAATACAGTGAACTGGAATCTCTCATACTTTCTTTCTTCAACACAATAACAGGTTAAATGCAGTACATGTATACTTGAACCTCTCACTGTCCCCTAACAATACACACTACCATGTACTGACTTCATCAACCATTACAGGTCAAATACAGTATACGGGAATCTCTCTGTCTCCTTACATTACACTTCCCATGTACTGACTTCATCAACCATTACAGGTCGAATACAGTATACTGGAATCTCTCTGTCTCCTTACATTACCCTACCCATGTACTGACTTCATCAACCATTACAGGACAAATACAGTATACTGGAATCTCTCTGTCTGCTTACATTACACTACCCATGTACTGACTTCATCAACCATTACAGGTCAAATACAGTATACTGGAATCTCTCTGTCTCCTTACATTACACTAACCATATATTAATATCACCAGACAAGCATGCGACACATGATGAAATGATTTGACAATCATATATAATGGATACATCTGATGCCTGGAACATGATGTGAAACATTTGATGACTATTCAACAAGTTGCTCGAGAAAAATATGTACAGGTAATGAATTGAGAAATACGCATTTTATAAACTATTATGTAGAAGATGAGTATACCATGATAATTAGATATCAAGAAGGAATTTCATTTTCAAGCATAGTCATTTTCACATCATTTTACATGGATTTTGTTCCACCTGACTACCACACACACAAGAATTAAATTATTATAGTTTATGCTATGTCTCTCAGACTTCCACATTTGAACACATTCTTCTTTATAAAAGCATCAGAATTGCCTCAAATCAGTTTCCGTTTTTTAAACTAAACGTAAAATATCTTTTATTTTAAAGGATTTAAACATTGTCAATTTCATTTAGATCACATTCAACAAAATCATCAGATCTTATTCTTTATAAAAAAATCTGTTATTTCTTTAGATTCATAGCAGATTCCATGTCATTGAGATTGGTGTTGACCGTTGTAAATCCCTATAGAAACATGCCTGGTTGTATAAATGTCCTGTGTGTAAATTCATTCCATATAATCTTCACACACACATTCTGTACCAGAGGTGGCAGCAGTGGTCAGTCTAACACATGCAATCTTCGTTGTTAGGAACACATGATGGTCAATTAAGCATCACAAACTCTGTTGACCAGCATTGTTGGAGCCTGTTTGTCCAATCCAAGCTTTCGGCCATTGACCACTAATACCACTGGTGTGTCCACTCTAATACTTGTGTAATCTAACGTCTGAAATGTAGATAATATACATACATTACTATCTACAGCTTTTAAAGATATGCAAATTTATGCAAAAAGTATGATATCTTGCATTGCTGGATATGTGGTTTCAAGACTCAAAATGACTTTCTTGCAAATAAATAATTATAACCTGCATTCGTATCGAGATGTTGTTGGATCTAGACAAATGATTGGAAAAAATTACAGGAGACCTTTATCTCAAGTATTTTAAATATCTTTTCAACCTGTGTTAACAAAACACTACCTACTTAGATTGCTAATTTTTAGAGTTCAGTGTGTATACATAAGTTGGACAAGGATCTACTCAAATAATAATATTCAATAAAAGTCAAAATTATGTATATCCCAGTTACACAGCTGTCAGCTAAGTATTTCAATAGGAGAGCATCTACAACAAAACGTTTGAGGCAAACAACTTCATGATTTGTATAACAATGTATACTTTGACAATTACATTGTACATCTGGCTCATATTGTGTTCATTTCAAGTAACATGAAATGTTTTAAATATAAATCACCAACCATTGCTGATGATGCTATATTTGTAACTAGCTAAATGATCTGCTGATAATCAATAATAATAATAGACTTTATTTAAATTTGATAACACATTGAGTCAAGGACTCATCTCACATGTGATCGCCATAAAATATACAATATTTACAACATTTCAAAAGCAAGATGATAAAATCCTTATGATACCCATAATGGTTTAAACAAGAGGCCCATGGGCCTTAACGGTCACCTGACATCTGATTCAAATAAGGACTGTCATCCAGGGGCCAATTCATACTTTTCGTAGGTCCAAGTGACCTTGCTGCATTGTCCATTAATTTTTCCTTGTGAACACAATAACTTCAGTAAATATGAACTGATTTTGATAAAACTTTGTATTCAGCTTTGTATCAATGAGATGTTGGATGAGTTTGAATACCGGACCAATTTGACCATAACTTACATAGTTATTCCCCTTGGTAATTCTATTATTGTTGGACCCTGTGAACACGATAACTGAAATAAATGGGTGTGACTCCAATTTCGACCCAAGGGGTCTGTTTACCTTGGTAACTGTATATCTTCTGTTCTTGGTTAAAAGAAACAAGTAAAAGCGTAAATCAATGATTTATTAAAAATGGCACAAAATTTTAATAGCACCTTGTTAGTAGCAAAAATGCGTCCGAGATCTTATTGATATATGGCTGCATACAAAGTTTCATCAAACTTGGTTAACATTTACTGAAGTTATCGTGTTCACAAGGAAAAGTTAACGAATGACGAGGGAAAAAAGGCTATCACGATAGGTTACCATGACCTATGGTCAGGTAACCTAATAAAATATAGAAAGCACATCTTAACAAAACTGAAGTGTAAAACTTACAAGGCCCTTGTGATTGACTTTGATCTCCTGAAGGTAGGGCTCTGGTAAGGCTACAGAATCCCACATCTTTACACCAGCTCCCTGGGCGATGTTATACACATTTACAGCTATACATGTCCCCTCTTCATCTACCATACAAAATGTACTGAAAGTGAAAGTAGGAGGCTTATGCTATATACATTCACCGAAATACATTTCAAACTTTGTCTATCATGCAAAATGTATTGGAATTGGAAATGAAAGTTGTAAGATTATGTTATCCATACTTACAACAATACATGACTATAAATCCCTACTCCATGTGTCAATCAAAATGTAATAAAACAGAAAGCAGTAGGAATATGTTATCCACATTGACACAACTACATGCCGCTTCTTTGTCAATCAAATAAAACACAATGAAAATGAAAGCAGATGGACTGAGTTATAGAAATACAGTCAAGCCACTTTTTTATACTAAGATAGATATTTTCTTTCAGTGTTAACCCTTTAAAGGTAGAATGTTTTTCGGAAATAAAAATTATTATTTGCTAATTAATCTCAATCTGCCTTCCAGTTTTTTGTTCATAAATGATATCAGTATACTTACAAAACACTGGATCCTCTAGCAACATAGAACATACAAAGCCATTTAAATATCCTAAATACTTACAATGGTATCAAGTCTTCACCGGAAAATTTCATACAAACCTACACAGTGTATATGGTAGTATACTTACAAAGGTACTGGGTCTTCCCATGACACAGAACACACCACCCTGCCAAGCACCACCTTCTGATGGTTGACCTTGCCAGGGACAAGTTCACTGAATGGACACTTATTGAGTGTGATGACCTTGCCCTTCGGACTGGTATAACTACCTCCACTGTATGGACCTAAATCTGCCTCCTTCAACTTCTCAATCATTCCTGATAGCTTTTTCCCTTTTAATTTGCCCTACAAATAAAATGTACATATAATGACAATATGATAAGTGATTTTAAAGGACTCCTTAAATCACTCCTGAACAACAGATATATAAAACACAGAGGGTTTTTTTATGTGGTTATAAGCCTGACCATCATGTAATATTGCTTCAACATTTAAGTTAGCTGTATAGCAGAGGTTACTGTTTAAATGGAAGTAACTGAAGTCAGTTCTGATATCAGTTCTCTAACATTTATTGTGGCATAGACAGTAAATGCTGTGTAAATACTTGAAACCATTGTTTTTCTTTTGGTAATTAGAGGTTAAAATATTCCTTATCAGTGATACGATACATTTTAGTCAAATGTATCACTACATATGCTGCATTGATGTAAAAGTAAAACAAGTGGCCATTTTGAGATGATCTTGTGTTCATAACTAAAACCAAATTAGAAAATATGTTGTTAACCAAAATTCAAAGAACATGAAACTTTTCATTTCATTTAGTTTTCTAGTTTAAAGGCCACCTTTGTCTCTGTAAGCTCTCGTGTTTTTCGTAGGAATGACATCAACTCTCCTTGTTTTGTTCGGGGTTCTGGCCATGATGGATCCATCTGTGCTGCTGCGCTGAAACCCTCCAGTGCTAACTGGTACTCCTCCTGGTACTTAAACGCCTACAAAGTTTTATTCAGGAGAGTGAAAAAGATGTACAAGTCAAGTGGTATCGTAAATCATACATAAAATTGTATCTACATAACTCATCGTATCACTGTTTTACCACCAACCACACAGATTATTGTAAAACTAGTCATATGGATAACAGTATATATATAAATCTATCTTAACAAACTTATTATTCTCTACTGCATCACACACCATACAGAATTAAGTACCACAAACCATACAGATCATTGTACCACAAACCATACAGATTATTGTACCACAAACCATACAGACTATTGTACCACAAACCATACAGATTATAGACCACAAACCAAACAGATTATAGACCACAAACCATACAGATTATTGTACCACAAACAATACAGATTATTGTACCACAAACCAAACAGACTATTGTACCACAAACCATACAGATTATTGTACCACAAACCATACAGTATTGTAACAGATTATAGACCACAAACCATACAGATTATTGTACCACAAACCATACAGATTGTTGTACCACAAACCATACAGATCATTGAACCACAAACCATACAGACTATTGTACCACAAACCATACAGATTATAGACCAAAAACCATACAGAATATTGTACCACAAACCATACAGACTATTGTATCACAAACCATACAGATTGTTGTACCACAAACCACACAGATTGTTGTACCACAAACCATACAGACTATTGTACCACATACCATACAGATTTTTGTACCACAAACCATACAGACTTTTGTACCACAAACCATACAGACCTTTGTACCACAAACCATACAGACTAGTCTACCACAAACCATACAGATTATAGTACCACAAACCATACAGATTATTTTACCACAAACCATACAGATTGTTGTACCACAAACCACACAGATTGTTGTACCACAAACCATACAGACTATTGTACCACATACCATACAGATTTTTGTACCACAAACCATACAGACCTTTGTACCACAAACCATACAGACTAGTCTACCACAAACCATACAGATTATAGTACCACAAACCATACAGATTATTTTACCACAAACCATACAGATTGTTGTACCACAAACCACACATATTGTTGTACCACAAACCATACAGATTATTGTACCACAAACAATACAGATTGTTGTACCACAAACCATACAGACTATTGTACCAAAAACCATACAGATTTTTGTACCACAAACCATACAGACCTTTGTACCACAAACCATACAGACTAGTCTACCACAAACCATACAGATTATAGTACCACAAACCATACAGATTATTGTACCACAAACGATACAGATTGTTGTACCACAAACCATACAGACTATTGTACCACATACCATACAGATTTTTGTACCACAAACCATACAGACTTTTGTACCACAAACCATACAGACCTTTGTACCACAAACCATACAGACTAGTCTACCACAAACCATACAGATTATAGTACCACAAACCATACAGATTATTTTACCACAAACCATACAGATTATAGACCCCAAACCATACAGATTATTGTACCACAAACCAAACAGATTATTGTACCACAAACCATACAGACTAGTGTACCACAAACCATACAGACTATTGTACCACAACCCATACAGACTATTGTACCACAAACCATACAGATTGTTGTACCACAAACCATACAGACTATTGTACCACAAACAATACAGACTATTGTACTACAAACCATACAGACTATTGTACTACAAATCATACAGATTGTTGTACCACAAACCATACAGATTGTTGTACCACAAACCATACAGACTATTGTACCACAAACCATACAGATTTTTGTACCACAAACCATACAGACCTTTGTACCACAAACCATACAGACTAGTCTACCACAAACCATACAGATTATAGTACCACAAACCATACAGATTATTGTACCACAAACCAAACAGACTATTGTACCACAAACCATACAGACCATTGCACCACAAACCATACAGATTATTGTACCACAAACCATACAGACTAGTGTACCACAAACCATACAGATGATTGAACCACAAACCATACAGACTATTGTACCACAAATCATACAGACTAGTGTACCACAAACCATACAGACGATTGTACGACAAACCATACAGACTAGTGTACCACAAACCATACAGACTATTGTACCACAAACCATACAGACTATTGTACCACAAACCATACAGATTCTGGTACCACAAACCATACATATTATTGTACCACAAACCAAACAGATTGATGTACCACAAACCATACAGATTATTGTACCACAAACGATACAGATTGTTGTACCACAAACCATACAGATTATAGACCACAAACCATACAGACTATTGTACCACAAACCAAACAGATGATAGACCACAAACCATACAGATTATTGTACCACAAACCATACAGACTATTGTACCACAAACCATACAGATTGTTGTACCACAAACCACACATATTGTTGTACCACAAACCATACAGATTATTGTACCACAAACCATACAGACTATTGTATCACAAACCATACAGATTGTTGTACCACAAACCACACATATTGATGTACCACAAACCATACAGATTATTGTACCACAAACCATACAGATTATTGTACCACAAACCATACAGACTATTGTACCACAAACCATACAGATTATAGACCACAAATCATACAAATCGTTGTACCACAAACCATACAGATTGTTGTACCACAAACCATACTGATTATTGTACCACAAACCATACAGATTATAGACCACAAATCATACAAATCGTTGTACCACAACCCATACAGATTGTTGTACCACAAACCATACTGATTATTGTACCACAAACCATCCAGATTATAGACCACAAACCATACAGACTATTGCACCACAAACCATACAGATGATAGACCACAAACCATACAGATTGTTGTACCACAAACCATACTGATTATTGTACCACAAACCATCCAGATTATAGACCACAAACCATACAGACTATTGTATCACAAACCATACAGATTGTTGTACCACAAACCACACATATTGTTGTACCACAAACCATACAGATTATTGTACCACAAACGATACAGATTGTTGTACCACAAACCATACAGATTGCTGTACCACAAACCATACAGATTATAGTACCACAAACCATACAGATTATTGTAGCACAAACCATACAGATTATAGACCACAAACCATACAAATCGTTGTACCACAAACCATACAGATTGTTGTCCCACAAACCATACTGATTATTGTACCACAAGCCATACAGATTATAGACCACAAACCATACAGACTATTGTACCCCAAACCATACAGATGATAGCCCACAAACCATACAGATTATTGTACCACAAACCTTACAGGCTATTGTACCACAAACCATACAGATTGTTGTACCAAAAACCATACAGATCATTGTACGACAAACCATACAGACTAGTCTACCACAAACCATACAGATTGTTGTACCACAAACCATACTGACTAGTGTACCACAAACCATACAGATTATTGTACCACAAACCATACAAATTGTTGTACCACAAACCATACTGATTATTGTACCACAAACCATACAGATTATAGACCACAAACCATACAGATTATTGTACCACAAACCTTACAGGCTATTGTACCACAAACCATACAGATTGCTGTACCACAAACCATACAGATTATAGTATTTGTACCACAAACCATACAGACCTTTGTACCACAAACCATACAGACTAGTCTACCACAAACCATACAGATTGTTGTACCACAAACCATACAGACTAGTGTACCACAAATCATACAGACGATTGTACCACAAACCATACTGATTATTGCACCAAAAACCATACAGATCATTGTACGACAAAACATACAGACTAGTCTACCACAAACCATACAGATTGTTGTACCACAAACCATACAGATTATAGACCACAAACCCTACAGACTATTGTACCACAAACCATACAAATTATTGTACCACAAACCATACAGATTATAGACCACAAACCATACAGACTATTGTACCACAAACCATACAAATTATTGTACCACAAACCATACAGACGATTGTACCACAAACCATACAGATTATTGCACCAAAAACCATACAGATCATTGTACGACAAACCATACAGACTAGTCTACCACAAACCATACAGATTGTTGTACCACAAACCATACAGACTAGTGTACCACAAACCATACAGATTATTGTACCACAAACCATACAGATTGTTGTACCACAAACCATACAAATTGTTGTACCACAAATCATACAGACTATTGTACCACAAACCATACAGATTGTTGTACCACAAACCATACAGATTACAGTCCCTCCAACATAACTTACCATAGCTCTGTTGTAGTGAAGATCAGGATTGGTTCTAGCTACAGGATCCTTCTCCTGTTGTCAGATGAAAAACAGTATTTAATAGAGCTAGTGTGATTGACACACAGGTCAAAAAGCAATTTGAAAAATATGCAAAATTAGAAATATGGCTTGATCTTCCAATGTAACTTTAATTACCTTTCATTGGTCAAATGGATGCTCCTTTTAAAAGTACCACGAGTACTGGTAGATACATTTTTGTAAGAAAGTTTTGTGTCTTTATTAAAAAAAACAAATACTCAAGTGCTAAGTATGTATCATCATGATGCAGTATTTTAAAATATGTTTGAGTTCAAGCCTATATAGATATGAGTATAGGACTCAAAAATCTGCTTTACAGAAACCAATATTCATGATAAATACTTACAGCTTGTTTGTAAGCTTTCATACACTGTGTCAGAGACTCTGGGTTCTGTACCCCACTAGCAAAAAAGATGGACAGGTGGGCGTTGGCCATAATCACTGAAATAAGACATACCAATAGGTCTATTTAGATCAACTACACATCAATCACTATACATGTATACAAATAAATCTTTACAAAAATATTTTCAACCATGCTTTTTTACAAAGTATTTTTTCAGAACAATAGCATCAACAAACTGTCTTCGTCGTTGCTATTACACACAACTACATTGACAAAAGGTAAATATCATGATGTCGCAATTACGCTGACAACTTGTTGATCATGCTGGACCCCACAACTACACTTATAACATTTTAATGCTACAACTATAGTGACACACTGTTTATGGCATATTTCAATGAATGAACCACATATCCTCAACTACACTGACAAAGTAGTACAACATGGTGATACTACCAATATACAGTTTCTATGTTGTGTACTCTTTTTCATCCTTAAACTGGTTTGATGTTTGCTTTAAAAATTGTGAATATTGACGAATACAGTTATGCAAAAATTGAAATTATCATTTAACACTTATTTATTAATTTTCTGTTTCAACAATAAGTTCTGTTGAAATGTGTGGGGGATTTATTGACAAGCTCCGATATATTTACTTCAAATGCAATGTATCACAATTTGGGACAAAATATTCTTATTAAGAATAGCAATCATACTCCAAGATATTCCATCATTGACGTCAAGTTGTACCGCCTCTTTAGCCTTTTCTATACTCTCCTCAACCATCTTTAACCTCTGAGCCTGTGTACCTGGCATCTGTCGCAGCACCATGGACAAATTACGTAGGGACACCTTATTTTTCGACTAACAAAATTAAAAAATACATATTAAATAATGTACTCATCAAGAAAATGGAAATCTTGTGAAAGCATAGTAAAGCAAAGCCTGTTTGAATGAGTGAGAAATAGTTCACCAATAAACAGACAATAATTACACATTTAAATACAGAAATACAAAATACTCATCACCATCAGTTAAGGAACTTTATCATTGGATATTTCTTTAAGTACCAACAAAAAAGCAGTCAAAATTGAAATTAAAATAACATCTGATTTAATACAAAAACTGTTTAAGAACTTGATGTTTGCAATACATCAATATCTATCTATTGTTTAAATCAAAATAAGGTGGCATTAAACTATAAATATAAGCATATCAAAATCAATGAAATTCAATGTTTGACAGTAGAACATAGAAAGTGTATGGTAAAACAATATGTCTGTGTACAATATAGCTTGATTAACTAATTATCTGGATATATGGAACATGACTATTATCAAGTATGATTTTCTTTATTTCAGTCATATCTTTGTGTATTTTTCAATATTTCATAGGAATGATGTTTTCACTTCATATATGACATTTACAGGGTAGATATATTCAGGTCACAAACCAGCTATCAAAGGTGACCACATTGCAATTAAGATATGTCTGTGATAAGACAAATACCTGATAACACCTAAACAAACCCAGACTGGAGATCATATATAGTGTGTGATATCCAAAAAATAACTTTGATTATACTCGTTGTGTCAGAATACACAGATTTATTCAGGGTTTTTTATACGATGCAGGAACATAATTGTATGTTAAACATGTCAGAATACTCATGGGTTTGATCAGACAGGTTGAATAAACATGGTATGTGTCCTTCTGTTTCATTTAAATATTTTTTTTATTCTGAATGAGATATTTGGATTTAATAGTACAATAATTCTTGTGAAAGTCTGTTCCCAAGTACGAGCGTTAAGATTTTCAGTTTCCAGGATTATGGTGCCTGAACTAGCAAAGTGTTACTCTAACTACCTACATGATTAAGGGCTCCAGAAAAGCTGTTTATGGAGGAGTTGATGTTGCCACTTTTCCAGTAACACTCTCCAAGCTGGTTCCAAGCTCCAACTAGCTTGGGATCCAATTTGACCGCCTTGGACAGAGCTTCCTCAGCATTTGGGTCATAGGAAGGTAATACATTGAGAATCTTGCCCTTCAGCATGAAATACACTGCTCTGTTGGTTATTTCATCTACATAATAAGGAAACAAAACATTGAAATCATTGCATATTGTCATTCAGTCTGAACATCGCAAGTTCTTTTCCAAATTTCAACATTGACAAAATACATTTCCTTAGTGTTTATTAATTCCAAAATGACTGATGTACTTTTGAATATCTGAATTCTTGTATTTATTACATGAAAAAATATACTTCATATAATCAGCAATCATTGTTTAAAACGTAATATCAAAATTTTGTAGGACAAGTTGACATTCATAGCAAAGTATCATCAAGCTTGATGTCATGTCCTTCAGAAAAATATTGTTTACAAGCTAACCTTCTGTGTCTAATTATTGATATGTTGATAATGAAATTCTATCTTCTGACATATTTTCATACTTGTGCTTGTCACAAGAAAAGCTCTACCAACTAAGTTATATTCTGAACTTATGCAGACATAAATATCAATGTAATATTTGACCAACCGTTTAAATTTTCTAGATATTCTAGTGTTGACTGCATCTTCTTTTTGACATCTTCATTCTTTTGATGTCCTTTCTCTATGCCATTTATCTCCAGGTAGTGGTCCTTATAATGGTACAGAGCATCCACTGCTTCCTTCAATACATAAAAACTGAAACTGCTGAATAATCATTTCTTAAATAAAGTCATCCATACATGCATGATAATTAGGTAACATTCATGCTCATTTATTTCTAATTCATTTTTTGTGACATTTATTGCATTACATCAACTGTTTCTCTACAATATAGTGTAACAGGAGAAGAGAAATACACAGCCAGATCGGAATCGAACCTGGGACCCTACAAAGTCTAGATAGACGTTCTACCAATGAGCTTCATGGGCGCCAACGATCGTCCCAGTCCAAATCCAATACATTTTGCCCTCCTTTTTTCCAAGACTCTGCCCCTGAAGACATCACTTTTACAACCTAGGTTCATGTTTCCCTTGCAAAGTGTGCAATGCTGATCAAGGGTTGGTCACGGGCACCAATGTAACAGGAGAGGAAAGAAAAATGCAAAGGCCAGTCCAAGTTTCGATCCTGAGACTCTCCAAAATCTAAACTGCTGATCTACCAATTGAGCTATAAATGTACCTGGTCACTAGTAAACGACCCCATTCAGTTCTGCTACAATAGTATTACCATGTTTATTATGGAAAATAGCGAAAGAAAACGTAATGATTTGTTGTTGCCATCTGAAAATAAATGCCAAAAATGAAAATACAATGTCAACAAGATCCCAAACTGTTGAGGTAAATAACGTTGTATTAATTTATTGGCACGCAGAATAGGTCTTTGTCTAAGAAGAAGAATCGAGTTGATTGTTGACTGTGAATCCAGCACTCAAATGTAGTTAGTTTACCAAAAAGATATTCATGACAGAAATCCAACACTCCACTCTCCAGCAGTCTAATGCAATGGGGTGAATTGACCAAGGGGGAAAAGACTTGTTTTATACAATTTTTTACAATTAAATTGACATATCTTAGTCCGAATCAACTAGAATGCAAGATAGCTTATTATGCCAAGAAAACCACTTGAATAAGTCTTAAAACACAGAAATGTTTAAACAACACGGACGATGCGACAAAACACAGGCACAGACATGTGGACAAATGCAGTTTCCTCTGTATTTAGCTATGTGTTTGGGATGATCCGTACCGGAAACCCGATGAATATATGCTTGGAAAACACCAGCACATCTTTCTAGCTATCACCTTTAAACAAAAACAAACCTGTGCTTTTTCTTCGGAAGTCATTTTTTGGATTAGTTTGTTTGTTGAAAGTTTTGTTTTGATTTCGTCTTGACATGCAGTAACCAACAGAGTCGCTTGTACGCTCAAGTCTGAGGCACTCAGATGCTTTAAAGTCAAATATAATGAAGCAGAAAGACTGCAATCAAATCCGGATTCTGGATAAATGTTTTCCCCTGATTTTATTTAAGTGAGCTAAACAAAATGAATAATCTATCCAAAGAATAATACAATTTTAAAATGTTTAGAGGGAATGTTAAAAATCCATCGTTGTATTTTGATATTTTGACCTCAGATCTTTTCTCGCGCTGTAGTCGGAGAAATATCTCTGGACTTTGACTAACTTCTATTAATAAAAAACTTTTGAAATAAATCAAATTAATAATAACAAGTGTATCTCGTTTGAATTAGTTAAAATCTGATACAAATAATACATTTAAACAAATGGAATTTTATTTAAGTCTGTTTGCTTCTTGCAAAAGAGGGCTGGTGAATGGGCCAGTCCGTACCGACCAAACTATCTTACTACATAAAGTAATAGCAGAGACATATAGCACATATTGTATATGTAATATATACGTCTCTGGTAAAAGTAATCGACATTTTGAATAATTCAATTGACAAATTTTAACAAATAAATTTAAATTAATTGCCACTTTCAGAAAAGGGCTGGTGGTTGGGCCAGTCCCTACCGACCAAACTCTTATAATGCATAAGGTAACAGTATAGTATAAATTAATAACAGCGTTTATGATAATATTTTAATTAAGAAGTAATAGAGCATATCACCGAAATCACACCATTACCCTTTTACAAAATCACATTTTTGCTCGGATCTAAAATTTGATGTAAAATGTTGTTTGACCAGAATTTTGAACACGTGTAAGTTGTTGGAAGCCTTATTTTTTTCTGGTAATGCTTTCCAATCGTTTATTACATTGTAAGAGACTCGGAGAGATGTGTATACAAGTTATACGGGCTTGATCTTTTAAAAGGATTTAATAGAATATCAGTGGAGGCAGGCATTGCTGCCTCTATATAATGCCTGCCTCTATACCACATACATATTTGTAGTTTGAAATACATTGTGGTAAACATAAAATAAGCCTATATATATAAGATGCTGTATAATCGTACTTCAACCCAAGATCTTTCCAGAATTCGTCCAAGTTTTTCTCAAAGTCAAATACGTTACGAGATGAAATAACATATTGTGGGAGACTATTCCAGTTATCAAATACTCTCTGAGTAAAGTAATATTTTCTGATATTTAAATGACAATGTTGTTTAAGTATTGTTTGTACTGTGTACAGGGGTTCTCCCTTGAGCGGCGAGATCGAACAATCCCTCTATCAAATTCGGATCATATAGCCCACTCATAAACTTAAAACTTAAACATGTTGAGCATATCTCCGCGCAAGTGTTTCTATGTTAGAAGTGAAAGTTTCAATCGGCGTAATCTCTTGTACACCTCTTGTCGTGTTCCTTCATACACGCCAAGTTGGACCCTTTTCATGAACAATTTCATAATCATAGTTTAATCTCATTTGAGCCACTCTATTACTTACATTCAGCATATGATTGTCCGGTTCTACAGACGCGGTTACTCTTTTACTCCAATCTAAATCCAAAATAAAACGAACAACATTGTTTCAAGTTGTGTAACTTGAAATTTGTGTTTTTGAGATACCCTCGATCAGAGACGTACTATATACGTCTCTGCCTCGATCGTACCAAGATGATCAAGCAAAAATGACATTGGATAAGTGCCGGGCAGAGCGTTTTTCTTGGTGATAGAGATCTATAGACTAATTCTGTTTATTATAAAATGTTTAGTCTTTGATAAATTTTCTGTGAAGCATTGTTCACAATGAAAAGCTGGTCGACCAAAGATTTCACCCAAATATTTTACAAGTGGTTTGGATTCAATGGTATGTCTATTACTATTACAGAGACGTATATATTGATATTAATATTTTAATATATACGTCTCTGTCTACATATAGTAGGAGTTTGCACTCTGAGTCGATACTTATCTTTACATCTTCAGTGTTGGAATTTGTTTTAACTTGAACAATTTTTTTCCTTTGCGAGATACAAGATTTAAACCATGTAATAGGTACGCATTATGTATTATTATATCGTCTCTGCAGAAACTAGGACACCTCAATAGGGCCTACACTTCAATCCATTTATATGACATGCATTGTATTGTTGATGTTAGAAATATTGGTGTATCACCGAGCTAACTCCACGACGCCACTTGAGTTTACTTTGGGAACTCCTGTTTTCTCCCAACCTGGTTAGAAATATTGGTGTACCACCTAGCTAACTCCACGACGCCACTTGAGTTTATTTTGGAAACTCCTGTTTTCTCCCTACCTGGTTAGAAATATTGGTGTTTCACCTAGCTAACTCCACGACGCCACTTGAGTTTACTTTGGGAACTCCTGTTTTCTCTCTACCTGGTTAGAAATATTGGTGTATCACCTAGCTAACTCCACGACGCCACTTGAGTTTACTTTGTCTCCCTACCTGGTTCTACCTGGTTTCGGTCTGTTAATAGACGTTTCCGTCTCGTGACCACCTCAATGTTTCTTCTTATTAATGTGACGCAGTCACGATCTTCGGGAAAACCACGCAGAGTGATTACTAGAAAGCTGACTGAAATAACTTTTTCTTTGTAACTTACATGCTTTTGACAGTTTTGATACCATCAGTGTGTCTATGTACCAGCTCTACCTGATTGATTTAAACATATTTTATTGCATAAATGAAGCAAACGGATTAGACAAAAGTTATATCAACATTACAAAGGCCCTCTCCACAATACATTTTACATAAATTGAGAAATAGCATTATTGGATCGCAATAAATACCATTTTTTCATACAATAAATGAAATAATACAACAGATACAAATATGATGAGTTAATGTCATATCACATTAACTAAACCTTGATGTTGGCTAGAGCATTCAAAAACGTTAAAGAAAGTGTCGAAAGAAATTAATTATCAAAAACAACTGTAATCCCCCATCCCTGCTGCGAAAAAGTGCATACCATACCGAATATTAGTTATGTGAGACTCTTTTACTGCTTCTTCTTCTTCTTTAGGGTGCAAGGGGCTCCATCAATGTTGACGATTATGCCCTCGGGGTTCCCGGTCACAGAGGCGTGAAAAATGGGTTATTTACAGTGATTAGTTTTTTTGTTTGTTTGTTTTGTGTGCAGGGTATAGATAAAAGGTAAAAGCTGAGGTATGTTTTAGCGTGTAATGAGGGCTTCAAGGGCTGCATAGGGTATGTGTGCCTTGAAGTCCTCTTGTGTTGTGCATGCTGCTATGGGAAGGAGATTTCATCATTGTGTTATTGTGTGTGGGGAAAAAGGAATATTTGTAGGTGTCCTTCGCTGCAGATATGTGTTGTATGCGTAAGGGTGTGCATGTCTGGTTCGAGAGTCTACGGGTGTGAGTATATATGTTGGTTTTATAGCTACGATTAAGGGTACAATTTTGTAAAATGTAAAAATAAAAATATAGAAGTTCTGTGATATCTAATTAGTTACGATTCTGTTAAAAACACATAACACTTTTATTAGTACCTATTATTTATGCTTCAATATATTGTAACACGACTACTTTTTTTCCAATTCAGCTCTTTCCCATTTTCGTGTTATATATATAAGTATCGTCGTTTTGTGATCAAAAGTCAGTGTGTGAACCACACCCCGGTTTCCGGATATTTATTACCTTTTGTTGTCCTGTATTTTACCAAACCCGTGATATTCCGCAATCAGTCATTGGTTAGATCTTCTGTGGTACAGCCAATCAAACAGTCCGTTATTTATTGCGCAAGTTGTTCACGAAGCTTTTGGCGAAGGAGAAAGTCTATCGTCTGAAGGACAGAAACAATAATAATTCCATTTCCACTTGCAGTATATTTTTGCTGTTTTACGAAGGGTAAGAATGAAAACTGTTTTGTTTATGTCAATTATTCAGTCAATTATTAAGCGTCGACTTTTCGAAATAATAGCGTAGGTGGACATCAATCTGACTTGTTATGATCCTGAATATTCTCCGTCATACACTACTGTACTGTCACTCAGTACTTAATCATGGCATAGGTTCTTCTTTTATCTGATTATACGCATGCTGTGTGGTATAACATTTTGTTGTTTACTTTTTGAATGACACGTAACAAAAGTTTTGTGTATACAGATTCATACAATCGTCATACACGAGTACGCCATAAGTTATCACCATTTTATTATATAATTATTGCCATGTAATTACAATAACACGAAGAGGATCTTGAAGAGAGTTACTAAGTACATCTAGTAACATTGGGTAAGTAATACTTGCGTTAACGTTGTTCAAAACAACCGTCTGTTTATTTATTAATATGATCACATTTTCAATTGATCTTTGAGTGGTAAAATACGGGTGCGAAAATATGTAGCGAAGAGTTTAAATCAAGATTTTCTTACTTATGGTAGTACTGTGATATTATCTAGTTGACTTGCAATGCTTTACATACATGTACATAATAATTTCATAAAAGTGATTTGCATACACCTGAATGAATACAATGTGGTAAAAGGAGAAGTGTTTGTTTTGAAAAAGCCAGTGATTGCAGATTGTGAATTATATGGTTCCAGATATGCATAAGTTTATTTTTTATTTTACATGTGTTGTATTATAATGTTGTCCCCTGGGATATAAACTTAAAAAAGATTTGGACTCCCGTCGACAGTGACTATTCAGTATATATTCAGTTGATAAATCACCCCTCTGGAGTTTTGAAATTCCATTTCCAACATTACCCAGTTGTTATTATTACGTCTACATTTTAGAATTTCTTGGCCCTCCATGAATGATTGAATCATGATCATGGTCCATGCTGTTGCGTTTTCCACCCTAGTAGATTTAGATTAAGTGTAATGTTTGAGTGATTAAGTAAATATTTGTTCATTGTGTTGCAGAACCACTTTATATACATTATATTATGTATGCATGTAACTTTAGTTAAAATCATTATGTTTTATATATATGGTATATATGTTGTCATTGCCATAAAAAACATAAATTTGTA